ATGTGAATAGCCAGTTTTCCTACCACCATTTGTAAAGGGCTTATCCCTATTGTATGTTCTTGGCAGCCTCACCAAGTACAAGTCAACTTTGTTTCTAGGTTCTCTATTCTGCTCTGTTGGTCTGTACGTCTGTCTTTATGGCAGTACCGTACTCCTTTAACGACCATATGCCAACACACATCCAGGAAAAATAAAATAGATGACTCATTAGCAATCATTGTCATTGCCCACAGAAAGCCTTTAGTATGCCAGGTATAATGATAGCAACCAAAACCTTCTGAGAGAGATGATTTCAGACACAAAATAAAATGCATATCTCTTTTCTTGTATGGAAGCTACAGAGGGACAAATGCAATGAGAGAGATATTATTGTTTATTGACTTGAGTAATTAAAAGCCAAAGATACAATACTGGAAGGATACACAGGTATATCAAAATTCTGGAGACCTAATATACAAATTTCAAAATTGATTGAGGCCAGACTATAGAAAAACATCCAGAACTATATAAAAATATAAGTTAGTTAAGCCATCGTGGTTATTTTGAGCTTATCAGTAGTCAATTTCCAAGCAGAAATCATATGTAAAAAATGGTTTTACTACCAATATCTAATATCTTAAATGACATATTTGTTTGTACATGTGATATTATTTATTATTTGTTTGCCCTGTGGATCATTAATAACTTCATTTTACTGCTTGAGTACATTTAACTTAATAATTTGGGTAAATGTGAAAGAACAGTTAAACAATAGGTGTTGCCTAAAACAAGATAGAAGTCCTTTGATAAAACATATAACTTGTGTTATATGTGGATGTCTTGCCACAGGAATGTTCCAAAAAATCCTTTTCCTCTGGTAACTGTACTGATAATAAAAATATTTTTATTTGCTTTTTGAATGCTTCTTGTTTAAAACGAAATAAATTTTTGAGAATCTGGATTTTGGCATTTATGGTCTTTTGATGAATACCTGTGCCTGTGATATTTAGGAAAAGAATAGCATCTGGTTAAGAGATAAGAATGGAGGGAAGAGAAAGAAACAGATATACCTGATAACCTTTAGAATTTCCTCCAACCATTGAGAGTACTATAGGATGTTTTCAGTGAGTATTCATACTACATTATTTTAGAATATTTTTTAAACTTACTATAGTGTCCTGCATTTCCAGAACATTTTTAACTTTTCAAAGATCTTCAAGTATTAATATTTTCTGAGTCTACCTACACTCTATAAAAATATAAGGCAATTATTTTAAGTACAAGACAATGAGGTTTAGGGAAAGTAACAATTTTCCAAAGGTCACATTACAAGTAAATGGATAGACACAGGAATTCATATTTCATTCAGACATTAATACCCATAGATAATCTACAGAACTGCATTCCATCGATATTAAAAATCACCCAGGCCAGTGGTTCATTACAAAGTCCTATGCTATGCATAATACGTTCTAAATAACACAGGTAATACGTGGCAGATTTAGGTCTTCAAAAAAGGAGTAGATGAAAAAAAAAGTCTTCATTCATAATGCTAAATTGCCATTGCAAAATTACTCCATATCATTACAAAAGGTTTGAAAAATTAAACTCACAGCTGATGTTGCCTTGAAAATCTGGCAGTCGTCCATGCATAGATTTGCTATTAGCTCAGCTCTGGCTCATTAAACATCCTGAATTTGAAGCAAATTGCTTAAGATGCAACATGTGTGAAACCAGGGTATTGGTTAAGCATGATTCATGACATAATCAAAACACTATTTTATTTTGTCTCTCACTATTCCTTGAAAATGTTTAGGAACAGATCTTTCTCTGGCCTTGATTGAAAATTCTCCAGGTACATGGCGTTTATGTTCACGTTTTGGTAAAAGGGAATCCCACTTTAAGCCACACAGTAATCTCAAATCAGAAATTAGAATCTCCATCCAAGTTAATTAAAAGTGTGAATTTAGCATTGATATAAATTTCTTCTCTCTCCCAGTTATAGGCAACTTTGACTCAAAACCTACAGGGAGAAAGGAACTTCTCTATTTCTCTGCCACTGAAATGGCCACTATTGAACTTATACAGATATATTCTGCTGGAATAGTATGGCCCAAATCTACTGATTTGGGCTTCAATTAGCCTCATTCATCTTTGGATAAGCTCTTCGAAACTAGATGGAAAGAACTAATGCCTTCTTCTCCTGACCATGGCCTGTCACTATTCCTTAGAGAAACATTTGGAAAGATGTCTTTTTCTGTTGTTGCCCCTCCTATAGCTGATGATTCCAAAGATTGTAATGAACAATTTGGGCTCTCAAACTCATTCTTTTCATTCATGACATTCAGAGTTGGCTTTGTGAATTCAATACATCATGTTCTTTCTAACCTGGGTGGTGTGTGATGGAACTGTAGGTGGTGGTTGAAGATGGTTCATTTCAACATTATTGTATGAAATGACAAGACTAAATTAGAATGTGTTAGGTGATTTCAAGATTATTTTGATCTAATAATGTATTTTAAAACTTTGCCATAAAAATATTTTGGGAAATCTAATGAGGTTGTATATGTAGATTGACGTTCTTCAATAAAGTGAGAAAGTTTTCTGTCATCCCTTCTTTGGATATATCACCTGCCTCTCTCTGACGCCCCTCCTGGTCCTCCCATTACAGATGTGCTGGAGAGTGTAAGTGTCCTACGTTTTTCTGAGGCTTTGTTCATTTTTCTTCATTCTACTTTTTCTTCCTCTTCTTTGGATTGCATAATCTCTATAGATCTATCTAGAGTCCTCAAATGCTTTTATCTGCCAGGTAGATCTACCATCAAGCCCTTGAGTGAATTATTGTTTTAGTATGTACTTTTCAACTCTAGAATTTCCACGAAGTTCTTTTTTATTATTTTATCTCTTTTTTGATGTTGCCTATTTGGCATGACATTGCCATCATGTTTTTTATTTCTTTGTTTTTCTTTTGCTTTAATCACAGTTCCCTTTAATTCTTTGAGCATATTTATAATGACTACTTTTAAGTCTGTTAAATCTGACATTTGATTGCTCTCACAGGCAGTTTCAATACTTTGTGGGGGGTTTTTTTGTTATTGATTTTTCTGGAGTATGTGTTATGATTTTCTGGACTCCTGTGGAAGGGTAGTTCCTTAAGTCAGTTTTTTATATTTGTCTAGCCCTAGAGGGCTCCTCTCAGCAGGAATTGTCCTCATTTCTCTCCATCACAATGAGAACAACCTCCTATGCAGCCTTTATCACCAATGAATCTATCAACTTCCTCCCAGTAGCCTTTCACTTTAACTTTTACTGCTTTTCAGAGTTCCCTTAGGTTTGACTTTTTCCATACTTCATTGCAGCCAAAATCAATATCCCTGGAGTTTGGAGCTCTCTGTTCCATGGCCTGCCTTTCCCTGTGGACAAAGTATCTAAACCACTGGTCTGGTATTAGATGTGGGGACAATGGCTGGCTTCTCTATGTGTGATCCTCCACCCTGGGTTGCTGAATGCCGAACTGATATAGATAGGGCAACAGCCCCAGATCTCTGCAGATTGTCACTCTCACTAAAGAACTTCCATCTTAAGAACCCATTCTTTATAGTATCCTTACAATTTTTCTGTAAATCCACACTGTTCTAAAAAATATAATTTAATTCTTAAGTGTGCTGAAAAATATTGTTCAGCCTTAGTAAACCCCCTAAATAAATCTGTTGAACCACTTCTTTAAGTGAATGATCTAGGGATGTGCATTTGGGAGGCTGGAAAAGTAACATTTATATGAAGGAAAACAAAAACAAACCAAAGTGCTGCATCTTTACCAAGTTTCTGTGGGAATGGTTTCAGTCTGGATTCACTATTGCTTTTATGTTAGGAGAAGGATAAATAATATAGGGCTAGAATATTAAGAATATTATTACAGCATCCACATTAGTCCTTATTCTTCACATTTATTTATTGCTTCTTTTCTTTTTCCTTGCTTTATCCAGTTTAATATCTGTATAGGGACCTACTTCTATTTTGACTTTTTTAACCTGGTTATCCATCTGCAGAATAATTTTCACACAGTTATTACGGCAAGAAAGGAATTAGGAAATCTTGTGGAAAAAGCACTAAACAAATGCTTCTGTAAATCTCTGAAACCATTGTGCAAGAGAGAAAAATAGCTCTTCTGGGCTTTAAAAAGTATCATTTGTGGTTTGGGGAGGAAACAGGACCACAGGTTTTCTTTCACATATAGACCATAACTAGAGGGCATGTTGCTCTATTAGTAGAGTACAGGTCTGTTTTCCATGGAAAAGCCCTTGCTCATGGGTAACGAGGGTACTTTTGGAAGAATATTCCAGGGTCCTTTAGTGACTGAACTGAACTACCATCAGGACACTCTTGTTCATGGAAACACTGAAATTTAATGGCTGAGGTGGCTGTTTTACTTGCATTCTGTCTTAGGTTGGGCTAAAGAATAACTCAGAAGATTCTTCCAAAAACACAGCTTACAAAAGAGCTTGTGTAAGAGAACCTTTCCTTCAACAACTTAGAAAAAGTTTATTAATGAGAACAGTTACTGTTATCGTCAGAGTGCTCCTATCACAGGTGCAGAAATTATGTATTTTAATGAAGTTACCATGGAAGAAATGAAATACATATTTGGAAGAAAAATTTTTGCTATCTTATTGTTATAGCTATTATCTTTCTGACACTCATTTATTGAATATTGAGCACCTACATGTGCATATCAGAGTGTTATTGTTTGAAGACTGCAAAGGAATCTGAAGATTTTCGTCTTCCTAGAAGTAAACAGTCTACTTAGAAATGTTTGGGTTTTAAGAGATACTTTGCAATTTTCAAAGTCCTTTTTCCTCCCTAAGATCTCCATTTAAACTTTATAACAGCAGCAGCAGGATGGTTGGCTTGTTAGATATTACAGTCACACAATTGAAGAATTCTAGGTTCAGAGAGATTTTAAAGGTCATTTAATCCAATCTTTTCATTACATTTTAATCATACCATTTTTTTCATTTTCCTTTAAAAATGACACCAGACTATAAAAAAGCTGCAAAAATGAAATTCTTACATACCTTTCTTTCTACTTCCACAAATATAAACATCTTATATAATCATAATACAATTTCACAACTGGGATATTAAATGTGGTATGATACTGTCAACTGATTCAAAGACTTAATTCAAATGTTGCCAGTTGATCCACAAATGTCTTTTTCCTGGTCTAGGATGCAGTGCAGGATCACACCATTTGTTTTCATGTCTACACCATCTCCTTTAATGGTGACAGTTTCTCAGTTTTTTTGTCCTTCATGAAGCTGACATTTTTAATCACATTGGTTCCTTATTTTGTAGAGTATTCTTCATTTGCAACCCATTCTTTTCCAAGCTTAAGCAACCAAGCATGGTGATTCTCCCAGCAAATTAGTGGCAAGCAACTGGTATGCTAACAGAAGACTGCTAACTGTATGGTACGTTCATCCCACGATTTCAGAAGGCTTGTCTTCTGCTGGAAGGGTGAGGACTGACTGATACAAGTAAACCAGTGCATTTATGCATCAGTTACCAAATAGATGCAATAAATGTATGTCCTTAATAGATTATTAATTTCCTATGGAGTTCTTGGGCTTTGTGTAGGCCCTGAGACGGCAGTGGCATGCAAGAACTAAAATGGCCGCAAGTGCACACTCTGAGCATCTTTTTGGTTTTAACCCCATCCTCATCCCCAGGATTTTGTAGTGTTTTGGAGAATGAGGAAGTGCACAAGCCCACAAAACATTTAGAGTACGTCTAGAAGCCAGTACTCTTTCAAAAAGAATTAGGTAAAAAGACTGGTTTTGAATAGAATGAGAGTTTGAGATGGGCAGAAAAAGGGAGAGAAATACGGTGATTGATGGAGAAATCGTTAAATATATATCCCATCACCATTATTGGAAAGATATAGATTATAGATAGAATATATCTATATTTACCTATACACATCTGTAGATACCTATAGCTGTACCTGAGACCGGTCTGTCTATCACACACTTACAACCCAGCATTCCCTCCTCTGCCCTTCCGGCGCCTCTCCCAGGCCGGGACACACTGCTTATGCTCGGGGGATGATCACGGCGCCAGTGCACAGACCCTGGGGGCAGGAGTAGCAGCACTCAACCCCGCTCCTCCTAAAACCCTGCCGAGAGTCCTGGCGGCGGCACAGGAAATCTGGACTCTGCAGGGAGCGCAGGGGAGCAAAGAGGAGGCAGAGCGAGAGGGAGGGTCTCCGGCGTCAGTCGGGCTCCAGTCCGCGGCGGGGCGGAGCGGAGAGCGGAGCCCGGGCCCCCTTCGCTCCCACCCGCGCCCGGGTCCCCGCGACGCCCGCTCCGGCCCACGTGCGGTGCCCCGCTCCGCGCCCGCCCCCTGCGGCCCGACTCGGGAGGAGCTGGGGCCCTGAGCGCCGGTCTCCACACCGGCCAGCGGGAGCCCCGCGTCGCCACCGCGGCCCGGGACAGTCTGCAGTTCCGCGCTCCCGCGGCAGGGAAGTGGACGCCGGCGGCTCCCCAGCCGCGCTGAGCGCGCCCCTCACCCGCCCCGGGCGCCTGCGGCGGCGGCTCCCGCGTCCCCGGGGCCCCGGCCAGTAGCGGCGGGGACGGAGCCTCCGCTGCTCGCGTCCCTTCGCAGAGCGCCGCCAGCCCCGAGCGGACCGGGGAGCAGGGGTAGGGGCCCCGGGGACCTCGGGCAGCGGAGCGCGGGCCTCCGGAGCGAGAGTGAGGAGGTCCCCGGGCTTCCGGAACAGAGGCGCCGAGGCCGGCCGGCAGGACGCCGGCAGGGACCGGGAGCTCCGCCCAGACGGCCCCGTCGGTCGGGCCGCAGCAGCTGTGTGAGTCAGGTGGCGGCGGGGCGGCTGGGCCTACTGAGGGGTGCGCGCTGGTTGGGGGGGGGGCGCTGAGGGCCGGGGGGACTCAAGCGCGCAGGCTTCCCACTGGGAAGTGTGCAAAATGAAGCCTCTGCCACCTTCCCCAGGAATTCCGTCTCCCCCAAGCGGTGCCTGTTTGACCAAGCCCAACCCTGAAAGAAACTTCCGAGTTAGCAGGTAAATCCGACTTACTGGCACAGTGGTCCGTGGGGTTGGAGGCCGGGCAAAGGGCAGAGTGTTAAGAAGGATCTCGAATGTGGGGGTGAAAGGGTTAACCTTTAGGGCAGTCTGACATTTCCTGAAATTATTTACCCTTTACTGGCTACAAGATTACTGATAGGTCTTGTAAGTCAAAGGTGACACACTTGTAGGGTAATTCAGAGGGTGAGAACTGCAGGGGACAGTCAAGCCCTTCCATGTGGTCCTCTCTCTGGGCACACACGGGATGCAAGTTACAAAGAGCCTGCACCACCTTCTAAGTGTGTGTGTGTGTATGTGTGTGTGTGTGTGTGTGTGTGTGTGTGTGTGTGTTCAGATCTGGGGGATGCAAGTTACAGAGAGCCTGCACCACCTTCTAAGGGTGTGTGTGTGTGTGTGTGTGTGTATGTTCAGATCTGGGGGATGCAAGTTACAGAGAGCCTGCACCACCTTCTAAGGGTGTGTGTGTGTGTGTGTGTGTGTGTGTGTTCAGATCTGGGGCTTTGCCGCTTCTGAATTATTGGTGGTTCTGCAATGTGATCTAGCCCTAGAAACACCAGCATCCCACCTGTTCACTCCCATTGCCTGACCTCCTGTAGTGAAGAGCAGGAAAAAAAGGCCGGACCTTTTCCTTGTCGGGTGGCAGGGACTGAGAGAAGCTGACACTGAGGTGTGCGGGTGCTGTGGGCTTCTGCTTTACACAGAGGAGGGAGATGTAGAGATGGAAGTAGGTGTTTTTGACCCTGCCAGGAGTGGTTTTAGATTTGGAGGAATAAATCTGCAGCTCCTTAGTATGATGAAGCTGTCAATTTAAAGTGAAATTGGAAACTCTTATTAGCAAAATAGTAACGCAACAGCTTTGTTGGTAATGATTAAAGACCATTTAAAAAGTGTGTGAAAGTTTCCTAGACTACCATAAAGCAGGCGTAGAGAACCAAAGGATGGACAAAAAATAAACATAAATAGATAAGTGGGATTCAATCAGGAAATTGAGAGTTTGCTCTTTTCAAATATGCACATATTAACCACTTAGCACCTTCCACCCTGTCTTCATTTGTGATATAATTTCCAGAAGCCTTCCAAGAGACACAGCACATTAGTTAATGTACTCTTCATTAGCTTTTGAAATAAAAGTTTAGAACATTTTAAAATAAATACCTGTTCTTTAGTAATTCTGTGGAATGTAGGTATGGAGTGTATTGATGCAAATCATGATAGCAGCATTCACTATTGACATCCCTGTCGAGAGGACATCCAGCCACCCCTAATATCTAGCTTTGAGGACACAGGTTCTGTCTTGTATGTTGTTCACATTCAAGTTTACTAAAATAATCGCAGCAGATATTTTGTCCATTGAGCTCATGAAAACTTTGTCCTCACTGCCTACTTTAATAATCCCACCTTTAATATCATTATCACCAAATTGTCCTTTATCTAGCCTTGAAAGATTTTGGACAGAATGAGAGAGGGGGAAAATTAATCTTTAGCAACCCAAATACTTGTTCATTTAACAAATGACTGAAATGTATTGCCAGGTTGTGTGTTTGTATGTTGCATGCAAACTCATATGCTTATTCTTACAAGCTGAATAGGCGCAGTGTGGGCCAAATTATTGGTAAGTAATAGATGTGGTTACTTTTAATGTTTGAGCACCCAGAATTTGCTATCTAGTGGGCTTTCTCTCTCATCTGAAATCTTCTATTTCTTAATGCCAACCCTACTGCCACTACTCCCGCCCCCCACACAACCTTTCAGTATATATGTCCGTGTTCTCATACAGAGCTAAACAGTTTCATCTAGCCAGGTATTATTTGTTGGAGCATCATGGAGATGGTAAAGTTTAAAGTTATTATTTTTGTAAATCAGAGTGTGGGGAATCAGAGAAAATTTCTTAGATGGAGGGAACTTGAAATGAAAAGCCAAGGGGAGCTGTGAGTTCTAGGCCTATCCATTTGTCATGCACCTTTGACAAGCTGGGGGTCAGTGTCAACCAGGATTAAAGAACAGAGTAGCATATCTTGGTATATGAAAGAGCATTGACATGAAGAGTGTCACTGCCATTTCCAACACTTTTCTTTCTCTCAGATCAGCAAAGGGAACAGTTCATCAGTCTCAGATCTGAACACAAAATTAGAAATTCATGATTTGCCGTTTTGATTTCCTCCCTCAGGAAGAAGTGGGGCACAGGCATTCCACATCCTTTGGACCCACCTGATCTTCAGCTAAAAGCCATAACTAAGCAGGACTAATGATTACAGTAACATCTTCATTAAAGGTATGCAGTTATAGTGGTTATCCGCTGCCTCTGTGACTTTTCAAGAATTCTGAATGGTTTCCTTGCTTCTTTCCCCTCCTTCCATTCTCCTTTCTGTGCCCTTTGCAGAGGCTCTTGGGGAAGCTGTTTGAAGATGTAACTTCTGCCTTGCACATGATTAGAACTTGCTTTACTCTGAGTGTGTGTGTGTGTGTGTGTGTGTGTGTATGTGTGTGTGTGTGTGTGTTCAGAGGAATTCCCAAGATGTAAATCTAGGTACTAATATTGCAACCTTGTCTTTAGGACAGACTTTCTTGGTGGGAACTATTGCAAGATCTGGACCAAATAAGGGAATCCTGTGGTGAAGGATACCGAGTACAGATACTTTCTCAGGAGCAAGAACATATTGCTTCTGCATGGTTCATTTTATAAATGATCTCATTTTATAGAGTGATATTTACTGTCCCATGGTGTGTGTGTGTGTGTGTATGTGTATATTATTCTTCCTTCCACTGAGTTCTAAAATGCTAACCAACATTAGCTCATTAATCCCTATTAATGAAATTCTTATTAGGTGGTAAGCATTAATATCTCTTTCTCACATTTTAATGCTGAATATAATTTAAATGTTTCAGTTTCCACCCTCTGTCTTTCTCACTGGCCCTGCTGCTCAAAGAGAGTCATTGCAGAACATTGCTGATCATGTCAGTATGATGGTATTAATGCTGCACTTACCAAATTGCATGACTGCCTGGTTGTTTGCCAATGCATATCTTCTCCTGCAGCTATTTTGAGATCTGAGATGTATCACTACAACCTTGGTAATTAAACTGAGCCAATTATTTTGATAAAATGCCTTATATTCATCATTTAAAAAATTTTCACAATACCCTTATGAGGGTCAGATTTTACTCCCATTACACAAAACAGGAAACTGAGTTTTGAAAAGACAGGTGACATAGCCAAGTAGTTATGGGGGCCCAGGGACAGAAAACAATTTGGAACCTGCTCTGATCTGACTCCAACATCTATTCTTGCCTTATAGGTTTTAATGTAGAACTTACATATTAGAACCTTTTAAGATCTATCAACTAATCATTTTAGAGGAGGTTGTGAGGAAGCATATCCTGGCTATGGATGCTCCATCTTACCACAAAAAAGGAGTGCTTTCAACACGTGCCTGTCACATTTCATTCCTTAGCTCTGATAGGGATTGCATCATTTCACACTCTCTTTATCTTTAGAAAAGCCTTAAAAATTAACGCTTGGGTGACTTACGAGCAAAGGGTCATGGGCACATTTTGAGATCTGGTGTTGCTTAACTCATTTCTGAGTTGACAAAATCTGATTTTATTTCAACATTGGCTATGAAAACTGCATCTAGTGATCCTTTGTATAAGATTTTTTTTTTTACCTGACCTTTTAAGTTTTAAGAGAGTTGGCTTTTTTCAGCGAATTTACATTTTTCCTTTTGTGATCAGGGCTCTGGCCCTCATCAAGAATGAAATGCAACATGGACCGCGAGGCAAGACGCTGAAGAGGAAAGAAGCCTAAGATGTGGAGAGAGATGTGCCTAGATTTGAATCTCCTTATTAGCTATCTTAAAACTAGGCAGCCAGTCTGCTTTCTGTTTTCTGACGACACACAGTCAGTTATCTCTCTGAAGCCCCGCCCAGGTCTGACACGTGTATTTTTTGCATGTTCACCTTGAGGGTGTTGAGTGCTTTGTACGTGTTCTGGGAACACAAAGATGACACATTGATCTGTGTCGTTGATTTGGGAGTGAGCAAACCTTCTATTTCACATGAGTAGGTCTTTTCTTATTGTTCATATATGTAAGTATTTACATAAATTCCTGAAATTTGAAAGCTACTATTTAAATCATGTACTGATATTTGCACTAAGATATAAAAGCAAAGTGGTTTGTTTTATATCATTTGTGTTGGTAAATGTGTGATCTCTACCACAAAATACATAAGGTGAAAATAGAAATTAAACCTCTTTTTTAAATCAGCTGGCATCTTCTAAAAAAGATATTTAAATATTGACTGGGAATGGTCCACATATATTTTTAAAAAGTTATGGATAGGATAGTATTGGGCACACAAATATATGGAGTGTTTTTACTTATTTTTGATATTTATAATTGCTAACATTTAAGAAGTACTAACTGTGTGCCAAGGACAACACTAAGAACCTTGTACAAATGATCTTGTTAATTTTTAATTTTACAGATGTTTTCTGAGCACCTAATATGTTCCAGGCACTGACCAAAGGTGTGTGCATGAAGCTGTACAAAGGGTTACAAACTTTCATATGAGTCAGGAGAAGATTAATGTCATCCAACGGCAAAACTGCTAGTAAAGTAAAGGTGAGATGGGCACCTTTTGGCTGGGATGGTTATGAAAGCTTGTGGCAAGGGTGATGCTTAAATTGGATCATGAATAATAGTGAGAACTTTAAAAAGGGAATTTTGAGATGACCACAAGTACAGGTAGGCAAGAGAACTGCAAGAGCAAATGTGGAGAGGAACAAGATTAAAATATTCCTTAATCTATGATATCAGTTTTGAATGATTATGGGTATATCGCGTGCCCAATGAGAAATAGAAAATCTCTTATAAAAAAAATCTGTGCCATCCCTTGAAGATAAGATTGCTCTTATTTGCACATCTAAGTCTCATCTTAGATATTATTACTTCTTTTTATCCTGACTTATTTCTCAAACACAGGTTTCACAAAAAGGGCTGTCTTTTATGTAGTGAATTCTGTCAGAGACATACTCAGCCAGGCTGTCCAGACTGCCACTTTGCTTTATGTCTTTAATTTTATAGGCAAATTCTGTGACCTGCCTTTATGTGTATCTTAGTTATTGTCCCGTACCTCTAGAAGTATAGAGAACACACCTGTGTCTCCATAGGGGAAACTGGCCAAACCACATCCCTGCAGTGGCCACGGGTGATGGCCCAGAAGGGAACAAGTGTGTCTAGTGTGAAGAGGAATCAGACTCCTCACGAGGTAGTTGTCACTGTAGAATATGGGTCCTGTTCAGATCGAATGGCTGCAAAAGTTAAAAGCTTGGCAAGAAACAAAGGTGGAATCTTACTGTGAAAGGTTTATGCTGAAAGTACAGAGCGTATTCTAAAATGTAGGTAGGGATAAAAGGCCCAGAATGCTCTTGTAGGGAACCCTACTTGAACTTCTACACGTGCATAGAAGGTATCGTGCCTCTGTTTCTGCAGAGATCTGCTGAATGTTTTTATACTACCTTGGATCATTAACGTACTTTTCGCTGTTCAAAATGCTTCACTTCTGAGGACGGTTGTCACATTACTTCACTTTTATTCTCATCATAGTCCTAAGAGATAAGAAGGAGAGAGATCGTTATTACCTCCATTTTGTGGCAGAGGAAACCGGAGGCTGGCTGGCTTAAGAGTGTGATTTACACATCAGGTATTGGGAGAGGAGGGGCTAAAATTCAGGACACAGCATGCCTCCAAGAGCTATATTGCTCAGGCTTTTTTACCATGGGCTGGGGACAGAGTTCACGTACTGCGTAAAGCCTGTGCTCCTGCCCACCACGGATTGCCATTGGGAAGAGGTGTAGAGATTGGGCTCTGGGTTTCTGGGTCCAGGAGGACTTCCATGAGTTCTATGAGCTGGGCTTTTGAGTGAGTTGCTTTGTCCAGGGTGATTAATGGGTCATTATTAGTCTTTAAGGAGTGACGGTCCAGGAGACTGATCAGATATACTTAAGTGGGGTGGCATCGCCTGTTGATACAGGGTTATTTTATAGGCTGACCATTGTTAGTGAGTCATCAGTGGCCCCTTTAGCTCTTCTTGTACCTGATTGAGGCTGAGGGTTGGAGGCAAGACAGAAGAGAGTTTGCTGAATGCTACTGCTCCACCCATATATGCTATGTACCTGATAACAGAAAGTGTTTTTTAACAATAATAAAAATCACAACCTATTTAGAGAACTTCTCTGTAAGCACATTGCAGAATATCGCTACATTATTGAATCCTCACAATAACCTTGTGATGTTGGTGTTATCCCCATTCTAGCACCATGGACACTGAGGCTCAGAGCGATTAGGAAACCTTCCCCAAGTACCTAGCTGAAAAGCAGCAGATCAGCAATTTGAGTTTTGATCTGACTTTGACTCCAGAGGTCTTTCTGTTGGCTCACCAAGCCCCAGTGTGAGGGTTTACTTCAGAGTTTCTTAGGGAATTCTTGTCAGTTCAGTGATGGTAATGAGAATGTTTGGCATAAACAGAAAAATCTAAGGGTGCCCCTTTTCATGTCATCCTGTTCTCAGATTGTGAATGATTTTATTCCCTTCATAACCTCCATCCATCCATCCTCCCTGTAAGTGACTCATGCATCATCGCTAATGTGTATCATCTCCAGCTTGTTAACCAGGAAGAATATGGGAGCTGGCATTTGCTTTCCCTCTGCTGGCTGCTGACCCTAGAGAGACAGCAGGGAAAACCTGGAACTCGCTGTAAGATAGGGCTGCTGAGATGTGGTACAGGTAATTGGCTAATCAGACTGTGTCAAAGAGCTGAAGGTTTGATGGTTTGGGTCATTTTTCCTAATTAAAATAACAGAGGATGTGGGAATCCAAACTCTTAGGCTGTCTGATCCAGGGCTTGCCTATTTGAAAAGTAAAAGGTCTTCTGTTTTCATTCCTCATTTCCCACTGCTTTCTCTCTCTCAATTAGAGTCTTGAAAAGTGCATTTCTCACTCTGGTTTGAAAATGCTGTCACTAATCTCCACCTGCCCTGTCCTGCATTTTGCTGAGTGGGTGGAAGGATTTTGAACTGGGTTTTGTCACCAGCAATTAAAACTACTTTCAGGGCTGGTTCTCAGGCCCCTGCTTTGAAATTACCATGGGGGTTGTCAGCAACTTTAAACTCTAGATTTAGTGTTTTGTTGGGAGTGGGCAGGGCACAGAGCAGGAATATTCATGTTTTGATAATCCCCCAGTGATTCTTAAGAACCCTGAAGCTTGAAAAGCATTTCCCTAGGTATTCTCCTTTGGCATTAGGGTCTGTGAGCTTCCTGAGATTGCCTACCCATTGTGTGTATGTGAGCATGTTTTCTGTAAAGAGAAGTCCCTAGCTTTCAAAAACTTCTTAAAAAAACCTGTGAATACAATGAGGGAAGACCCTCTGAAGTAGGCTGGTGGAAAGAGAATGGTGCACCCCTAGGATCAGAAAAAGGAAAGACACCTCTCTTTGGAAAGAGATCTTTCGATTGTTAAATAAACACTGCGTTGTAGTTCCTGCAATGGGAATTAGTTGCAAGTACCGTCTTTCGTGGTTATCCCTATAGATAGAATTTGTATTCTGAGGATAAAAAGGTGCGCTTTTAAACTACAACATAATGATCGGTAGCAAAGACTCTGGAAAGAGACTCTTGGATGTGAAATATTGCTTCAACATTTACTAGCTCTGTGACTTCAGGAAAATAACTGTGATTCTGTTTCTATTTCCTCAGATGTGAAAGGTAATCCTTAAAGGATGTTTTTGCAGTGAGACTTAAGTGGGTCGATAAACGTGTAGTGCTTAAAATAGTGGCACAAGGTAGCCCCCAAAAAAGTTGGCTGTTGCATTACTATTACTACTTTGTTGTTATTATCATAAATTAATAACAACTGTTGTGACAATGAGCATAATCGCTAATACCCACTTAGCGAATTAAGTGTTATATTTTGTGTGTGATATTATTCTGTGTTTTGTAATTATGTTCTTTCCCTTTTCCATTTCCATGTCTTCTAGGGCTTAGGCCATTTCTTACCTTTTTCAAACTTTTTTTTGTTTCGTTTTATTTCTATACATCCCTCACAGCATTTATAACTATTTGCTCAGAGTAAATACTTACTCAGTTTTCTCTGTTGTTTTTTTTCCTGGACTTTTCTTGGTCCACAAAAGCAAAACCCATGACCTTGTGCATGAATGTGATAAAATATTATACAACCATTAAATATACTATAGATGCATATCTAATGACTTGGAAAATGTACACAAGGCAAAAAATAAAAACATAAATTTTAAAAATAGTAAGATTTTAAATTCTGTGAGGTAGAAATTTTTGTCTGTTGTTTTCTTTGATATATCTCAAATGTGTAATAGGGCACTTGGTATATAATAGGGGCTCAGTAAGCTTTATTTGAGTACATTTCTATTTTTGTAAAAGAAGAAAAGAAAATATGAAAATAATCTGGAAATATAGGACTAAAATATTACCATTGATTATGACTGCTTTAATTACCATTTAGGTTGTCTGCATTTCTTGATGTTTCTTCTGTGAACATGCATTACTTGTATTATTATTTTTTTAAGTTTCAAACTGAGCAAAAAATTATTATGAACTAAGCTTAAGTATAGTTAATTCTAGGCACTTAGATTTGAACAGCAGCAAAAAAATTTCTAATTACCAGTGTTGGTAGGCAGTTTTGATGACAAAGGTAGTAGCAAGATTGCTGTGTTTTTTATTCTGGTTGTGTAATAGCAGATGCTTCCAAATCTTTATCAGTTTTTTTAAGTTAGAGAAGAGATATATGGAGGGTTTTGCACCAAAGAGACTATATACTATAAACTAGACATTCTGTGACCTGTAATTCCATCAAAGAAAACATCTCAGTTTAAATCTATGACATTAGCTTGATCTTAGTATTCATCTATGTATCTATATCATATTGTAACTTAAATGCCCAATGGGTTAGATAATATTGTAAGCTCATCTGAGCATCAAACAAGAACTGGAAATTTAATTTCTGGTGATAAGTGTACTTTAGAGCTCATGTTGAGATGTACATGTGGTAGCACCAAAGATCTGGATCCTCTTGCTTTTCCTGAACTCTCCAGAGGTTCAGTGAAGGTAATTAGGAGCTACCAAAGCCATACAAACTTCTCTTCATTGTGGAAAAAACAGAATAGTTTAGGAATTTTCCCTCTTTGAAAAATTAGCACAGGTCAAACATTGTGTATTATTGCTGTCTTTAAAAGCTGTATTTTGGTTAGCTGGGCTGCATAAAGGATTTACTCAACCAGCAATCCATTTTATAAGAAACTTGTAACAGTTGTTAATTTGAAACATGATGTATGGACTAGTTCAGGGGTAGGAAAACTATGTCCCAAATTTGGTTTGCTTCTTGTTTTTCAAAATAAAGTTTTATTGGAACACAACCACATTCATTTGTTTTTACATAACCTATAGCTGTCTTTGTAACACAACACCAGAGCTGAGTAGTTGTAACAGACCGTATGTCAGGCAACACCTAAAGTATGTTTTATCTGGCCCTTTATAAGAAAAGTCTGCTGAATCCTGGCCTAAATCATGGGAGGAAATTTTTAATCATCCTT